CTGCGACTTACACGGGGCAGGCAGGGGGCCAGGGGGAGTCGGAGACGGGCAGGGCGGGGGCCCCACTGGTGGGGGGCCCTCAGCTTCTGGGGTTCCCGAGCCCCTCCTCACCGAGTTCAGGATGTCAGAAATCCTGGGGGCTGGGTGGAACAGACTAGGCATGAACATGAGGCAGGCAGTGGTGGGAGTACAGGGGAAGAAGCTATGGCTAACAGCCAGGCCAGAGAGTAGAAGGGAGATGTGAGGGACATGGGGGGCAGAGGGAGGGCACAGGTGGAGAGGAGAAAGGGGGACAGGAGAGAAGAAAGGGCAGAAGAGGACAGAGGGGGACAAGGGAGAGGGAGGAACTGAAGGAGGTAGAGGGAGATGGGAAGCAGAGGGGATGGGGGACACGGGGTGGGAGTGGAGGATAGGGAAGGGAACAGGGAGGGACATGGTAGATAGAAGGGAAGAGGGGAATGGGGACAGGGAGGGACTGGAGGGGACAGAGGGGGCTGGAGTGTTTAGAGGGGAAAAGGAGGAGGCTCCAGGAGTAGCAGCAGGTGCCTGGCTGACAGGCAGGAGGTGGTAGCTGCCCTGGGCAGAGGGCACCCCAAGGAGATGCAACCTGGCCCCAGAGAGCCAGAGGACATTGTGGAGGTGTCTGCCTTGGGCTGTCCTTGACATGTAGGTGAAGGGTGAGCAGGAAGGAGCAGAGAGAAGAGTGTGGCCTGGCCCCTCACAGGCAGCCCAAGTCAGGAGAGGACCTGCCTTGTGCTCTCCATAGTTTCTTCTTGTCCATGAGCTCATGGAACCTTTTTGGGGTTCCAGTTCCAGCACCTTCCTTGGCCCCCCCACCAAGGAAGGGCGCTCAGGGCTTGGGTTCCACTAGGAGAGGGCAGCCCCGAGGGCAGGTCCCTGGGCACTGTGACCAGGGCACTTTAGGCAGGGAACATCTCAGCAGAGATGATCTGAGGAGCCCAGGGGGGTCGTAGAGGGGTGAGGGCTGCCTGGGTGTGGACAGAGCCTCTGGACGGGCAGCAGGGCAGGCAGCGCGCAGATGGAGCGTGGGCTGGGGAAGAGCCAGGAGGCAGCTGGGCCTTGAGGCAGAAGCTGGGCAGCTGTCCCGCTGAGCGAACATGTGCCCAGCAGACCCAGGCGCCAGGCCTCAGGCACTCCACGCAGAGTTGGCCGTGCAGAGCAGCGCTGGAAGCTGCTGAGCACCGGCCCATTCGCAGCGAGCCACAGTGGAGCAGCAGACCTGGGGCCACTACTTACACGGGGCGGGCAGGGGGCCTAGGAGAGCCGGAGACAGACAGGGGGGCCCCACAGACAGGAGGCCCTCAGCTTCTGGGGTTCCTGAGCCCCTCCTCACTGAGTTCAGGATATCAGAGATTCTGGGGGCTGGGGTGGAACAGACACGGTGTGAACATGAGGTAGACAGACAGACAGACAGACATGAGGAGGTGGCAAGGAGAAGAGAGCATCCAGGCCCTAGGTTAAAGCACCCCAGAGGCCAGGCTCAGGGCACAGCGTCTGCCCTCACCCTGAACGGGCCCAGAGCAGCTGGTAGAGCTTCTGTCTGCCTCGTTGCAGGCACCTGCCCCGCCTTGAGACTGTTAGTGGCCTTGGTTCTGAGCCAAGTCCACACCTCCTAGGTCACCTCTCTCACTGCTCAGGGCTGGAGAAGTAGGTGTGGGCAGTCTCTGTGCTGTGGACTTTGGGCCCTATTTCGGTTGCAGGTGAATCAGGCAAATGTCTACTCTCCTGTGTCCAGGGCACACAGTTCTGTGCTCATCTCTGCTCCAAGTCATGGGGGATGCTTAGGGACTGAGACAGTGGTAGGGTGGGCAGGAGCAATGAGGTATCTCTGCCTCCCAGCAAGAAGTTTTCTTTCCCAAACAGGCAATGGCTGACTCCCTGGGAGCCCAGGAGATCTGGGCAGCTCTGAGCTCATCTATGTGACGAGACACCCACGAGGGACAGGAGGCCACACGCAGGTGATTTGGAGGCATCGGGTCCATCCTGGGGATGCTGAGGAAGCAGGAGAAGCTGATATCTGGGGTGCAAGTGTTATGTGGGGGACCCTGGGACCTTTAGGACACTTGAGACCACTGGCCAGGTCAGGGGGTGGCCCCGAAGCCCACCGCAGGAGGTCAGCAAACACCCCCCAGCTGTGTGGTGCCCTCACAGGCACGCTGAGTAGAATCACCAGCTTGAGGAGCTTCAGGAGAGCACATGTTCCCCACGGACTTGTCCCATAGAACCTGTAGGGAGAGCTGGCCCCAGGCAAGGCCATGGCCTTCTCATTAGACTCTGTGCCAGGACTGCCTGGACGCCAGCCCTGCCAGCCACACTGCCTGTGCGCGCTGGCTAGGCTCTGAGCCCCACACGCACCCCAGCTGCAGGACATCGCTGCAAAGGCCCACCCGCCGATAAGAGCAGCAGCGCCGATGCCATGGGCAGCACAGGCACAGGTACCTTTGGCGTCCTCGTCCTCTATGGTGGTGTTGGTGCTGTCAGAAGACTCCTGAGGAAACAGGGAGGTCCCAGTCAGTGCATGGCCAGCGCAGGATGACCGGACAAGGTGGAGCTGCGGTAACACTAGCCACAGACATCCTCACACAGCAGCAGCCCAAGTGGGTCCCAGAGGGCACCCTGTGTGGGCCCCTTCCCACGGTGTGCCTTCCTGCCACACTTAGCTCCACCTCTCCCAGTCAGACACACCCGCCGCCCCTGGAAAGATCGCGGTATGCTCAGCAGTTCTATCAAGAGAGAGATGGCTTTTAGAGATCACAAGATTTAAAACAGAAGCCTGTGTGGGGTGAGAAGCTTCCAGAAGGAAACCTGGGTCTGGCCCCAGGCAGAGCACATCTGTTGCCCACAACCCCTACCCAGAGAGGCCAGACTACCAGGGTTGCCCAGACTCTAAGGTGACCTTAGAGGGCAGAGGTGGTCCCAGCACTGCCCATTCTGCCCTGGTGGTAGCCACCCTCTGACAAATGGACCCTCACCTGTCCCCACATCCTGGATCTACTCTACCTTCAGGAGGAACATCCTGAAGGGTTCCAGGGCTGCCGCAGCCTGGACACTGACAGGACACATGCTCTGGGCCCTGGGCCAGCACTAGCATCCTCTGAGTGAGGTCAAGAGGAGTCCAGGGCCCCTTGCAGAGCACACACACAAGGTTGCCATGGAGAAAGGGGCCTCCTGACAACGGCTAGGTGGGGGTCCTCACTTAGGCCCTGTCCCTCCCCCCACCCAGAGAGCCAGCCCCTTCCACGGCCCCGGGGTGATGATGCCAATGCCAATGGATGAGAGCTGATGACAGAGCGAGAGGGGAACAGAAGGGGGCAGGCAGCCAGGGGGCCAAGGCACAGTCCTGACATCAGGGACTCGTGGGGTGTGCGGCCTTTCAGGCAGAGCCTGCCCCTGCAGCCCACGTGAGGCTTGTGCTCTCCCCAGGCCACGCCCCAGCCCAGTCCAGGCCTCCTGCCTGAGGAGGAGTGGGGAGAAGAGCGCAGTACCTTAGTCCCGTCCACTGGGTTGTGGATAACGGTGGTTTGAGGCTCCTACAGAAGAAGGCAGACACAGAGGAAGGAAAGAGGGAGAGTGAGAAGAGAGAGGGCAGAGCCGGGCGGGGAGCCAAGGTGGCAGAGGAGAGCAGGGCGAGCAGTGCGAGCAGAGCGGGTGATGGAGGCACAGGCGGCACGATGGCAGGGCAGGCCTGGTGGTGGTGATGAACACCTGGGCAGCCGGTGAAGGCCCTGGCTGCCTTGGAGGGCAAAGGGCTGCAGACTGGGCCTGAAGCTGCACGGTGCCTGGGAGGCCTCCCCTGCCCTCCGTGCCTGGACCTGCTGCCCCAGTTCAGAGACCACAGGCTTTGAAGATGTCATGGGGTGGGGCACATGGGATGGATGGGGCCGAGATGGGGCTGGCTGAGAGCTGCCCACTTCTCAGTGTGGCTCTCCCCTCCTGGGTCAGCACAGACCGGGCTGAGCCCAGCCCTGCAACCTCAGGTCAGGTGTTTGGGAAACCTCCCACAGGCAGTCTGAGGCTGGCTCAAAGCCACCACTCTCCCAGCAAACCCAGCCACACAATATCTTGCAGGGAGGCCATACCCCAGGGATACCACAAAGGTTCTCTTGGTCTGGACCTCCTCCCTTCGCCAGGGCATGAGCCATAGCTGGCCAGTGCCTTCCCCAGGGGCAGTGAGGGGCTCAGTGAGGACATTGAGAGCACCCACCCTCCCCTCGGCAACCACAGACCAGCAAAGGTGTGCTGGCCCCTGAGGTAAAGCAAGCCTGCCACAAGGGCTGGCCATCCCCTCCCACCACACCTCTGTGACCCTGTCACCAAGGGACCTGGGATGTGCCTCTCGGGGCTGCTCCCCCACACAGCCCAGTCAGGGTCTCCAGGTCTATCCGCTGAGAGTCCCTGTGGGCAAGGAGGGGAAGCAGCCCCTTCTATTTTCTGCAACTTCTCCTGAGGAGATGCCCACAAGATAGCACAGCTGGGAGGCCCAGCCTCTGCCCTGCACCCTGACATCTCCGGGCTCAGTGAGGAGCTCTGGAACAGCACCATCTGCACCCTGGGCCCTGGCGGGGGACAACCCTCCCCCCTACCACCCTCTGTGTAGTGAGGGGTGCTGTCAGAGACAGGCCAGTGGGCCAGGCCCCACATTTAGTCCCTCTGCAGGTCAGCCACAGGGTGGGGTGCTGGGGCCAAGGGAAGGACCAGGGGGCTTAGTACCAGGGCAGCTGGAGGAAGAGTCCCTTTGGGGCTGGTGACCGCACTGTTTTTGGTGCTATTTGTCTGCGGCTGTGGAGAGAGGGAGGAGGAGCATTAGCTGAGAAGGCCCCCCCAACTGCCCTACCCTGCCCTGCCCTGCCCTCCCCCATTGGGTGGAACCTCACCTTGACTCCGTCTGCCTTCTTGTTGAGCAAGCTCTTGGCTGCTGCATTGGAAGGAAGGGGGACATCATGAGGACGGCCCAGGTCTCCCTGGAGTCCGCCACCTCCACTGCTCTTTCTGAGGGCCAGCTGTGCTCTATGCTCTGTGGCTTGGGCTCCCACAGGGCACTGGGCACCAGACCAACCCCTCCTGGGATGGGAACATGAGGCCAGGCTGGGGTGGTGGGCAGCTGAGTCGGACACCACGGTAGGGCAGGCCATTCCTGTTGGGTGGGCCAGCCACTGCTGCCGCCCACACAGGAGCTGCAGGGGTCTCGACCGGTCGCCACACTCCTGGTGCACCAGTCCCTGCTGAGGGGACTGTTCAACACCCAAAGCTGAAGGCTGGCCTCACTCCTCAGCTCTCCCCTCTACTTCTTGGCAGGCACTGCCCCCGACCAATGTAGGGCCCTTTGCCCACAAGCCCCCAGGATACCAGACCCAGTAGGTGGGCCTATCTCGGCCATCACTCTTCCTTGAGGGAAAATGTGGGCCTGGTTCTGCTACATCCCTTGGCCCAAGCCCCCAACTTCAATACCCTCTGCAGCCTTTAGAATTTTAATCACAGAGAAAAAATAATGAAAGAAAAAAGAAGAATTTTAATCACAAAGCCAAAAAATAAAAATTTTAAAAGGACATCAGCTTACCTTACAGAAAAGGAAAGGTGAAGAGGGGTGGGAATGAGGAAAGAAGAGAGAGAAAACAGGTTTGTGAGGTTCAGGCAGAGGCTCAAATCTGTGGGCCCAGGATATACCCAAGCCACTTGGGCCGCACGTGCTCGCTCGCCAAGAGCCATGCGGTCAGAGCGGCAGCCAGGCTGGGCCTGCAGAGCCAGGGGACGCAGAGGGCCGGGCCCTGCCCCTGCGCCATGCAGGGAAGGAGACGGCACAGTCCCCCTCCCCCCGCCCGATCCAGGATGCTGGCTTCCAAGCCTGCTGGAGGGCCCGTGCTGCCCCTGGCAGGCCTGGTAGGAATGTGGGAGCTGGGCCCTTCCTTCCAGGCTCACTCAAACCTAGGGCTGCAGTGGTTCTCAGATCAGGTCCCCGAACAGCGGCAGCGGCAGCAGCAGCTTCACACCATGCGGGTAAAACGCAAAGACCTGCCCACCCAGTCCTGCCCCTCGCTGCTCCTAGTCACCTGTTTCATTTCAGAGACCAGGGGCTGAGGTTGCAATGCAGTGACCAGTCTGAGGCCTTGACCATTGCCTGCTGACCACTTCCTCCCAGCTCCCTCATGCTTGGGGACCCAGGGTCACAGTCAATACTGGTCCACGCACCCTTGCAGGGAGCATGTGCTTTCTGCTCACAGCCCCTCTCTCACAATCTAACTCTCAGAAGATTGGTATGGAGCACCCCCCGAAAGCAGGTCTCTCGAGTTCTCCAGAAAGCTGAGTCCTCGTTATGAGAGCAAGGAAGCCCAGCCTGCCCTCTCCCTTCCAACGGCATGCAGGACCAGGGCCCTGATGTCCACGGCAGCTTGCTCCAGGGTCTGCCTTCTACTTTCCTACTGTGTGGATACCCGACCATTGCACTGAAATCTGCCTCCCTGTAAGTGAGGAAGAACGCACCTGACAGTGGGCTGCCCTCTCCACCCTTCCCTCTCCATCCCCAGGAATACCACCCCCACACCCCACTGCCAGGCTGGCCGTCTGCTCCGAAGTGGCTCAGGGTCCCATCCTTGCTGTCTGGCACAGCAGGGGGCCCTGAAGAAAGAGCCATTCAGCCTCATCTGCAGAACATTTGTCGTAGGGAGCTGAGTGGCAAGGGAGGGGACCCCATCCCTTCCAGAGATCCACATTTCAAAGATAGGGCCAATGTAAGTGGGTGGTTCGCAGAGGCAGGCTTGATTCCATGTCTGCAGTAGACCAGCCTCAGCCA